ACTAACTCCAAGGCACCTAAAAACAACTAGGTATTACATTTTATACATATCATTTATTACGATTTACTGATATTGTCATTTTATCAGTACAAGTACAGAAACTTTACCCATCCATTATTGTAATTGTTTTCAGATTTTTTTTCTACATAATTTAGAAGCACATCTCATTGAGCTATGTGCATCTTCTTGAATCTGTAGGGTTTTATCAGAAATACATTTTAGAAATATTCAGTCATTGTTTGTTCCAATACATTTTCAGCCCTGTCTTCTTTGTACTCTCCTTTTGACATGCTGATGACAAGAATGTTAGGGATTTTTTTCTAGTTCTAGTCTCTTGAGATTTTCTTCATTTTCCTTTGGGGCTATTTTCTTTTAGAAAATTTAAATAATTTGTATTGTTCTTTGCTCCATTTCACTGATTTGCTTCTCTGTTCCCTCTATTCTGCTATTGAATGCATATACTGCACTTTTATTTTTAATTATTATAATTGCATTTTCAGTTATAGTATTTTCATTGGGTTCTTCTGAATAGCTTTTATTTATTGAGACTTTCTAATCCTTTGCTGAGGCTTTCCTTTTATTATTATTATTTTCAAGTGTGCTCATGGTTGCTCATTGAAGCATTTTTACCATAATAACTTTAAAGAATATGTCAGGTAATTCTACTATCTCTGTCATCTTACTGCTGGCATCTATTGATTGTCTTTTTTTTCTCCATTCAGTTTGAGATTGTCCTGGTTTTTGGTAGAAGTGAGATTCAGTAAAAATCTAGACTGTATTATATTTTGAGATTCTTCCTTTTATTTAAACCTTCTGGTGTAACTGACTTTCTATGACACCACTTTGAATAGTAAGAGTCGGGGTACCTCCTGTTACTGTCAGACAGTTGTAGAAGTTCATTGGGCACCAAACTGCTGGAGCCAACACGACTGCTGGAGCCAATACAACTGGGGCCAGCTGCTGCATTTGACAATTGGCTTATCTCTGCAACCCGCGTGGAGAGATTAAGCCTTAGTAAGGGTGACAGGAGATGAGAAATAAAAGAAAGACACAAGATACATTTGAAATATAGTATAGTTGGGACCAGGTAGGACATAGCATTCTGATGGAGATACTGTGACACTGACCAAGGCAGTGAGTTTATTTTATACACAGCTCAAGGGGAGGTACTTGGGGGCAGGAAAAGAATAGCATCTGGTGTTTTTGATGCATGCAGTAAGGGGGATTTTATCAGAAGAATGTATTTGCTAGGGAAACAGAGATAGGGCTGCTAGAATATTGTGCAGGCTGAGCCAAAGGACATAACTAAATAGAAGGAAAGACCTTGCGAGACCTCAGACCCATGAGGCAGCCCTGCAAGTTCTTCAGGGGCTGGGGGACCTTGACTTGGAAGCAGCCCGAGTTTCTGGACCACAACTGTTCATTTGCAATCCTTCAGTTAAACTACCCCCAAGTCAGGGAACTTCAGCTCAGCTGCTCCTAACAGTCCATGTTCCCCACAAGGGCTCTGTTGACACCTGATGTGGCCAGGGGTGAGAGTTCACCTGACACCAAAGAGGAAGGGTATTGTACTGCCCAGTGGGGATGAAAGTCCTGACTTTGTACTTGGTCTTCTCTCACATCACCCTGATGTAAACATCAGATTTCCTTATTACAGCTGCACATCAATGTAAAGGAAGAAACAAATTTTCACCACTGGATCAGTTAATAACATCATGATAATCAGAGGAAAGATTGAAGTTATCAAAGACTTCATTTTGCTTGGCTCCTCAGTCACCACTCATGGAAACAGCAGTCAAGAAATATAACAATGTATTTATTGCATTAGATATATTTTCTGTAAAAGACATTTTTAAAGTACTAAAGAGCAAATATGTCATTTTAAGGACTAAGGTGTGCCTTTTCTAAATCATGGTATTTTCACTTGTCTCATATGCATTTGAAAGTTGGACAATGAATAAGGACGACCATAGAAGAATCAAACTATTTGAATTATGATACTGGCAGAGAGTAATGAAAGTTTCATGGACTGTCAGAAGAACAAACAAATCATCTTGGAAGAAGTACAGTCAGAATGTTCTTTAGAAGTCAGGATAATGAGACTTTGTCTCTCATTCTTTGGATGTGTTGTCAGGAGGAGAAGGACACCATGCTTGGCAAAGGGGAGGGTCACTAAAAAATAGGAAGACCCCCCAAGGAGGTGGATTGACAACAGTGGCTGCAACAATGGGTTGAAGAATAATAACAATTGTGTGGTGGCACAGGACCAGGCAGTGTTTCATTCTGTTGTGCATAGGGTCACTGTGAGTCAGAACCGATTTGATAGCACCTAACCACAACAACAACATGACACTTTCATGATGGCAGAGCTCTAGACTCCCTACTTGACTTTTATTGGCATGAATGTAAATGAGGAAGTACTGTCTTCTGTGTTGTTTGCCTGGAGTAGAATGGTCAAAAAAATTTCCATCTGTTACGTTGTTCCTTTCCTAGCCCTATAGATAAAGAGTGCAAGGTTTTGCTGGTGCTTTTTAATTTCTGCACCTATTTGCATACCTGAGTTGTTAGCTTCTTTGGCTCCAAGTCAGGGATTTGTGGGGAAAAAGAAAACTCAGAGAACTCACCATCAGGCCATTCAATGATTCCTAAGGTCCCTAGCCTTTCTACCTTCTCTTCACCCTTCAGAGCCTTTCTACCTTCTTCTCGTCACCTTTATATATATTTTTCAGGATTTTGAATAGTAGTTTGTAGGTGGATTGGGAAAAAGGACATGTACTCATTGGAAACGGATCCTCTATTCCTAGGGCTTTATTTCCTCCAAGATATGCCTTGGAGAGAAGATCAGAGAGGGTGTTTAGACCCTTCATACCTAGACTGTTCTTAGTTTTACAGCTCATCTCCTCCCAAGAGAGCTTAGAAATCTTGGTTGGGGATAGGATTCAGGGTTCTCCTAAGACTTCCCATAACAGACTAACCCATAATAACTGACTAGGATTATTATGAGAGGACGGAATCCTTCTTACAAACCCCACAATTGTCATAGCTCAGACTTTTGTGCTTGCTGAGATAAAAATATTATTGGATTTATATGTGAATTTAAAAACATATTTTTCCATGGGAAGTTTCTTTATTGCCCTTGATTTACTGTGTTTCCTGATAAACATTAATGCTAAGTGTGTCTTTTTAGGAATGACATGGTTAAAGTATGCTTATTTACCGGATTCACAATGCTAGACATAATGCTAACTTTGCAAAAGTGCTTTCAATCAACTGTACTTTCCAGAATGGACTAGTAATAGTCACATAAACATACATTTCACGTAGAGATTATTCTCTAGTTGCTTTTGGCAAATGCAATAGACTTGCTTATCATCAAATGTATTTAATCCTAAAATAAGGGAAATGATGGCTGTGGTACCATGGCTGTCTACTTATAGAGACCCATTTTCTAAAGTTATATTCCAAACAAAGCTTCTTAAAACAAGCTGCCATAGGAGGTCATCCTATCAAGGGATTTTTCCCATCAGTTTCCACTTTGGGTAACACCAATAAGTCTTCTTAGATTCAGAAATGTACAAACCTTTTCAATCTTGCCACCTGTAATTTTTTTTTATGTTAAATTTGCATTTGAAACATTGATTTAAATGTGTTCTTGAAACAGTTAATGTCTACCGAGACTTATACAAAATTCCTTCGAGATTCTTTGGTTCTCAGCAAGTTCTGGACTTCTTTTTAAAACACACACACACACACACACACACACACACACACACACAAACAAGCACAGAGCGGTCCTGATTTGAAGATTTTGGTAATGTGTTTTTGTACAGGGCATAAAAATATATCTCTGTAATTACATGATATTTAGTGATTAGATAATTATGGATAATTGCATTGGGGTAGTTCTGAGAGCTAAAGTGTTACCATAAGATCTAAAATGTACAAATTGCATAATAATTATTCTTGGGAGTTATTTGGTAATTCTCAGCATAATTATCATGTGATCTACAGTGCATGTAATTAATGCATAATCACATGGATTTTGCCTTCATAACTACTTCACCCTTCTTACAAAGCTCTTTGTCATAACATTTGAGTATAAATATAATGTAATTGGTTCCCAGATACAGTACATTAAGCCCCATGATAATTGCTTTCACAGTAACAATAACCCTTATTCCATTCCAAATGCTTGGAATAGGTTTAGGAGGAACAAATTGCCCAAGCTATGGTGAACAGGCAGAGCAGTGAGTGAACAAGAGGGCAAGTATTTGCACATTGCAGATGAGGAGTATCTTTGCCATGACACAACCTTTCCATGTAGAAAGTTTTTATTTTTTTCACAATGACCAGAAATACCTCTTCTAAATAAAATTTATATTTAGTTTAAGTCTCTTTGCTGTTCAGCCCCAGCCAGTGTCCATTAAGCCTTTAACTTACTTTTTATTGTAGCAAAGCACTATAGTCTTTCTTGTCTAGAAAGTTGGAATATCTGTAAGTAAATGTTCTGATTAATACATAGTAAGAGAGAACTTGGTTTGGCTAATGATGTCACCAGCTTCCACCACCCATTTGTCAGTTGGTTGTACGGTGGTTGCTGCTGTGTTGGAAACGATGCCTCTGATCTTTTCAATACCAGAGGGTCACCCATATGGACAGGTTTCAGTGAAGCTTCCAGACTAAGATTAGGCAGAAAGGTTTTCTAACCTACTTCCCCAAATCAGCCATGAATACTCTACGGATAATAGTGCTGGAAGATGAGTCTCTTATGTTGGAAGGCACTCAAAATCCACAGTGGCTGTAAAAATGGATGCAAGCCTACCAGTAGTAGTGGAGATGGCATGGTCAGAGGTGACTTGATAACAACTAATAACAACAGGAATCACCAGCTTGAGTGAAAAATATTAACAAAATAGCAGTGACTTCATATGAGACTGAAGTAAGGGCTTTGGCTAAACTGCCACAATTAATAACACAGTTTTTGTAACTTTTCTCCATAGGTTTCACATGGCAGGATGACTATACCCAGCATGTGATGGCCCAGGAACTCTCAAGCCTCCCCAGAACATACCTACAACATCCTGAAGCTTCCTTAAGAGAGGGGTTTAACCCTGCTGTCCGGTAAATATATATTTCCTTTATCTTTTGCTGCACAACCACATCCAGCATCTTTTAGTCCAGTTTTGTTTTGCATTTTTTAAGTATAGCACAGCACTCTGTCTACTCTTTCTAGTCTAGAAATTTCAGAAGATTGTACGCTGTTAGAAGAATGATGCTTTCTTGCCCTCTGTGTCTTACCTTGTTGTTGGTGAGTGTCCTCTAGTTGATTCTGACTCATGTCTAAAACCTTGTAGGACAGAGCAGAACTGTCCTGTAGTGTTTCCTAGGCTCTAATCTGTATGGGACAGGTCCTCAGGTGTTTCTCCCATGGGGTCACTGAGTAGGCTCAAACTACGAACATTTAGGTTAGCAGGACTCTTCCCAGCCCATTGGAGAAAGTTATATTAGAGTGACCCACCAATAAAGGTCTCTTTTTTATTGTTCCCTATTTTGCCATGAAGGAGCTCTGGTAGTGTAGTGGTTATGAATCAGGCTACTAATCTCACAGTCAGCAGTTCAAAACTACCAGCTGTTCCGCGGGAGAAAGATGAGACGTTCTGCTCCCGTAAAGATTTATAGCCTCGGAAACCCTGTACAGGGTCGCTATGAGTCAGAACTGACTCCACGGCACATAACAACAACAACAACAATGTTGCCTTGAGACCCTTGGGAATGTTCTGTATCTTTAGAGCCTTGGGTGAAGGCAGATGTCAAGATTTCTCATTTCTCAATAAGCTCTTATATTCACTTAAGTACAAAAAGCAGAATTAAGTAATGGAAGTCTTTGTTTTTTCCTAAGGGATAACGACCTTTAGGAAACGAAATCTTTTATTAAATATTTTATTGAGTGATAACCTCAGTTCATCTTTTCTGCAACATAACCTATAAGGTAAGTACTAAAGTCACACTCATTTTTACAGATGAGAAAACTGAGACAGTGATGTTGTCATCAGGTGTCCTCTAGTTGGTTCCCACTCAGAGTGACCCTACACATAACAGAACGAAACACTTCCTAGGCCTGCACCATCCTCACAATTGTTAGATCTGAGACCTTTATTGCTACCACCGTATCAGTCCATTGTGTGGAGGGTCTTCCTCTTTTGGCTGATCCTCCGCTTCGCCAAACATGATGTCCTTCTCCAGGGACTGGTCCTTCTTGATCACATGCCCAAAATATGAGAGACAAAGTCTCACCAGCCTCACTTCTAAGGAGTATTCTGACTGTATTTCTTCTAAGAGCCATTTGTTTGTTCTTCTGGAAGTCCATAGTACTTTCAATATTCTTTGCCAAAATCATAATTCAAATGCATCAATTCTTCTGTGGTCTTGCTTTCATTGTCCAACTTTCACATGCTTATGGAGATATTGACAATACCATGGCTTGGGCCAGGCACACCTTAGTCCTCAAAGTGAGGTCTCTGCTCTTTAACACTTAAAAGAAGTCACTTTGCAGCAGATTTGTCTAATACAATTGAGACATGTTGTTGTTCGTTGTTGTTAAGTGCTATGGAGTTAGTGCCAACTCACAGTGATCCTGTACAGGGTTTCCAAGGAGCGGGTGGTCAGTTTGAACCACTGTCCTTGTGATTAGCAGTCTGGTGCTTATCCTAACAGCACCATCCCAGGATATAGGCATGTTAAAAAATTGATCCAAAGGAAACCCCCATTAAGGAAACTGGGGTACTCTCATTTCAGAGCCATTGTATTATTTTTCATGGTTATAAACCAGGAAAAAGTCCTTCCCTAAAAATCTTAGTTTGGAAAGTCAGATTTTTTTCTAATAGAGAGAATTTTCTAGAACAATAGCTTTTAATTGGAAAAATCTCAGAAACTAAAAATTTAGAGATTTGCCTGTATGCACTTGTCTATTTTATAGATGAAGCAACTGAGCCTTTAAAAAAGTCACCCAGAAACTTTTCTAAGAGTTAATGATACATAAAGAACTTATTAAAGGCTTTGTACTTTGTAAGCATTAAGTAAATGTGTTGTAAGAAGTACAGTCAGAATGCTCCTTAGAAGCCAGTATGGCAAGACTTTGTCTCTCATACTTTGGATATATCAGGAGGGACCAGTCCCTGGTGAAGGACATCATGGTTGGTAAAGTGGAGGGTCTGTGAAAAAAAAGAAGACACCAATGAGATGGATTGGCAGAGTGCCAGCACTAATAGGGTCAGATATTGCAAGGATTGTGAGAATGGCATAGGATTAGGCAGGATTTTGTTCTGTTTTGCATAAGGTTGCTGTGAGTCAATGCCAACTTTGACAACACCTAACAACAACAAGGAGCTCTGGTAGCGTAGTGGTTACGAATCAGGCTGTGAACCACAAGGTCAGCAGTTTGAAACTACCATGGGAGAAAGATGAGGCTTTCTGCTCCCGTAAAGATTTACAGCCTTGGAAACCTTGTACAGGGTCGCTATGAGTCGGAACTGACTCTATAGCACATAACCACCACCACCAACAACAAAACAAATAAATGTTAATCATATTAGTTCTCACCTATCAACATTTATTAAGGGTTGGGACTATGTCACTGTGATTCATGTGCCAGCATATCTGTATTTGTTATTGTCTCTGTTGCCATTCGCCAGTCTGTCTCTTGGTGACCTCTTTGGGTGTAGTAGAACTTATTCATAGCATCTTCAAGGCCATGATCTCTCAGATGATCACTGGACCTGTCTTTTAGGTGCTTCTGGGTGGGCTCAAACCTTTTTTGTTAAAAAGAGCCATTATAGTCTATAAGGAGAATATGTTTTGTGTAAAACAAACCAAAAAAGAAAATCTCACAAACTATTTCTAATTTGACTAACTCGAATTTCCATATTTTGGGGGGCTGAGTTCATACGTTTCATGCCATAATTTAAATCACACTCGGACATTTAAACGTTGTCTATTTCTGTTCTTCTTCTTAGGGAAAATTTTAACTGAGGGCACTACAATGTTCCAAATAAAACAAACTAGAATTCCTCAGAAATAGAGATGGGTTGGTTCATCAATGGCAGGCAAAAAAAGGAGAATTGAAAAAATCGGACAAGAAATAACTGACTATGTAGTCTGGGGAGTGACTGAAAAGTATTAGCCAAAAGGGAGGAGGAAAACTAGAGTACGATGTTGTCAAGAGAAACAAGACATTTCCAGAAAACACATTTCAGAGGAATAAAACAAGATGAAACTCTCGGAGAAACACTTAAATCACCGTGTTCCAGCCAGTATATATTTTTTCAAATTGTCAGTGTTATTTTTAAAAATGAGACCTTATTTTTGTTTTATTTCATTTTTCATGATAAATGAGATGAATAGTTTTAAAATATAACATATATGGAAATAGGTGTTTCCTTCTTTATGGATTTCCTGCACATTTTGTTTGTCCATATAGAAATTACTTTTTGTGTTTTTCTGTGTTTTCTTTCACAGACTAAGGTCTTTGTATATCAATGTTGTTGTTGTGAAGTGCCATCAAGTTGGTTCCAACTCATAGTGACTCTGGTTAGGGTTTCCAAGGAGCAGCTGGTGAATTTGAATCACTGACTTTGCAACTCAAACTGACCTTGAGGTCGAGTGATTATCCTAGGGTGCCACACCAGGACTTCATACATCAAGGCTAGTAACTTTTTATGTATCTTATTTTGTAGGAATATGTTGTTCAGTCTATAAATGACACTGAATCTGTTACTAATGAATATGATGCCCTGAGCACACTAAGCTGGATTTCTGGTCTCTAGAATGTTGGGGCCTACATAAGACCAATCCTTGTAGCTCTAAAAACAGATGCCTGTCAGAAAGAACTTTGCTAGATACGCTCCAGATTTATTTTCCATCTTTCTGTTTGCTTAGTCTCCTTAAGAGGCTGGTCTTTATGAACTGTGTCATTAGATCCTCCCATTTGCTCAACTTTGGCCAGTGGAGTCTCCAGAAGAAAGGGCAGGAGAAGATTGAGGTGTTGGGTGTTTTTTCCCCTGATTCCTCATCTGGGCTGTAGGTTGGTAGGTTCTTTTTATTGTTCTTCTATTTTACCTTATGTACTTTGAGGCTCTTCCACTATAGATCGCAGCCCTCTCATCCCATTCTCTCTGGATTCTAGTAACGCCTCCTGGCTGTTGACACACAGGTTCACCACTGTTGTTAATCTCAAAATACTTCACCAGCTTTTGTGGGTTTCCCTTGCTTTTGAGAAATGTTGCTTTATTAAAGTCCTTGGTGATCTCATTTAAGGATGTCAGCTGTTTGCCTTTGAGGCTCAGCCAGATTCAGACTCACTAGAATGCATAAGAAACAATATTTCCTTGTTTTTTTCAACTATTGTCCCCGCGACAGGGCATTAAAGTTATATTACCTTCATGATACAAATTGAATAGTTTCCCTTCTAAAAATTCCTCAAAACATTTTTCTTTATCATTGAATTATCTGCTTCCTGGCATATTTTGAAAATGATCTTTCTTTGTAGGTAAAACTCTAATAATGTTTTCATGGTCTTGCAAGATTATTGGTAAATGTGCAAGCAGTTTATCTTGTGTGAACTTGGGGCAAAAGCTAACTTTTTCATAGAAATTTGCAAATTTACTAATTTTGTACAATTCTTTTACAGTTATGAAAATTTTCAACATAAGTATTGTTGTTAGGTGCCATCGAGTCGGTACTGACCTATAGCGACCTTATGCACAGCAGAAAGAAACACTACCCGATCATGGGCTAACCTCACTACTGTTGCCACGCTTGAGTCCAGCATTGATGGACTGCTGCTCTCTGAACACTCTCTGTTCCCAGAGTGTTTACTTGGCCTTTTAAAGCTCTCTCTCTATTTCTCATCAACTAGATGGATTGGTAAGTGGCAGCATCGATGGACTCAAGCGTCGCAACAATAGTGAGGTTGGCCCAGGATCGGGCAGTGTTTCATTCTGTTGTGCATAAGGTCGCTATGAGTCGGTACCAACTCGATGGCACCTAACAACAACATATATATAGTTTCTGGGGAGCAGCTGGTGGGTTTGAACTGCCAACATTAT